ATGCCATAAATATATTAATAGTAAGTATCAAAATATACATTTCACACGTCCTGCTTCGATAGCAAAACAATCTATACATATAATAAAATTGTAACTAAGCCGAATCTGTACATTAAATATTTTTGGAAAATCTTATTAAAATATACATTATTATCTATACAGAGGCCGGATCTATAGTTTTTAGAATTTTTGTCTGTCTGTTACCGCATCACAGAAAAATCAGTGGAGGGATTTTGATGAAATTTGGCATGGTGATAGCTGGTTATCCGGGTCAACATATAGGATACTTTTAAAAAAATACAAAAACTGCAATGTAAGAGTATACTAATATGTAAAACCTTCGAATTTGGTTTTTGGTCATCTGAACGCGGGCGGAGCCGCGGGCAATGCTAGTATAAAATATAGTTTTTAAATAGATTTTTTTGTGCTTTCCGATAAAATAGCTTTTAATCATTTCCATACTGTAAGTATGCATAAAAAACCATTAGAGGCTTATCTCAAGTGGTCTAATGATTTATTAAACATATTGTGATAAAGAAATCTGTCATTTTAGTAAGAAGAAATAACTCTAGCATTTAAATTATTATATTTAGACTATAAGTCATTTTAAAGATTTTTACTGTGGGAAGTTAAAAAGGGCTGAATACAATACAGTAGGTGAAAAATGTTAAGCCAGTATTTTTTTACTTTAGTCTAAACTTATACAATATACAACGTTGACGTTTTCCCTATTATTTTTGCTACGAGGAAAATGTCGGCCCATATGCAATATATCGAATAATTGACATATTTTAAAATGAATATTTTTTAATTGTAATAATTATAATAATAACAGCTCAAATTAAATAAACAATATTCTATATTCAATTATAAAGCTAATTAAAATTATATAAAAATGTTTAAAGTTAAAAGTTAAAATATTGTAAGGTACTTTAGTGCCATTTTTCAATTTTTTGAATTCATTTTGTTAATTATGGGTAGGCTGTCTGTAACAACTATATAATACCTTAGAGACATCTAACACCTCAGTCTCTCCCGTGACTATGGATGCTGTAAAGCATTCGAAACGTCGGGAACCAAAAATCAAAATAAATTCGCGAAAAAATCCGAAAAGATAGTTTTATTTAAAATGAATGAAGGACATTGTAACAAAAATATTAATATTCAAATATTGAGTTAAATTTATTTCTATCATTTTAAAATATTTTTGATAAAACATGATTTAATTTTTCCAATACTATGTTACCTATATAACAAAGCATTTGTGATCTTGTTGAGGTTCATGCCAGTACACAATGACATTAAGACCTTAATATCGGTACGTGACGCTATTTCATATTCAGCATTTAATTGATTTATAATGCGTAATAAATTATACTGGTATGAATAATTTTACTAGACTTGGATAGAAAGAAGCGCATCTACACTCTACTCGACACTCACTTTTTTCCCTATCTTTTTTTTAATATATTGTATTGATAGCAGTTTTCGGAACAGTGGTATGACCCACGAGAAAAAATGATGTACAATGGATGTATGTATATCCCTCTCAACTCCATTATCTATCTCTCTCTAATTTATTGTTGATATCAACATTTTTTTATTTAAAACAAATCTTAACTTGCCATTCATTTTTTCAGTTAGGAATCATAAATGATTCAGAACTTTCTTTTTATTCTACCTCCAATGAAGCTAATTGTTCGAAATTTTAGTCATTCAACAAATGAGGTCGAGCTACAGAGAGCTTTATCTGTTCAATAAACTCAGTGTATTTGTATAGCGAAACAACAATTTATGGAAAATTATTGTTATATATACCTACATATTACTTATTAGTCAAGAGTGTTTGAAGAGTCGAATATCATTAAGGTCAATCAGGAAGCAGAAGGGTCGTTGACGTTGCAAGTTGGGTAGGAAAAAACCAGCCAGTACTACTACAGTTAAAAGTGGCTGTCATTCGAGGGTGCGACCACATATTAGTTTTTTAATATGTACTATAGATTTCAGATAATTTAACATTTTATTTTGATTAATAATTAAAGAATGTCCCTTTATACGTATATTAACTAATTTCCACAAATAGATGCTGATTTAATTTTTTTTAAATACGAATATCTTATGTAAATAATGTAAGCAAGATAAACTGTGTTAATCATCCTTACATACATATACATAGGTACATAGTATATACGAGTATATTTTCTATACACATCTACATATATAGTCTTTTTTATAGATGTTATTATCTTTTAAAATAATGCTTAGTTTATATTATATTTCTGATTGACATTTATCAGTTAGTTGTGGCGCTACCCTCGCTTTTGTGCCCCGAGTCACGTAATCCAGTCCGTAAGCGCAGGCGCAGGCTCTCGGGCCTCGCATTATGACCGACATTTCACAAGGCTGTTGCCAATAGCAAGTGCACTTACTTACATATATTATATTACCACTTATTTAAAGATCGATGTTAACAAAGTGTACACTATTTTAGTCCTGTTGTTCTGAGTATCTAAGAATTTATCGTCAAAATCTCAAAACTCTTTCTTTTACTTTATAAATATCTCTTGAAATGACGAATATATAGTAATAACGAATATACCATAACCGAAATAATAAAATTAAAACTTGTTAAATAAAATTTTCCATTGCTGTCGCTTAAATTCATTAAACTTGACCTTTTTCTCTGATTACTAAATTAAAATACACCGGCTGTAAACACACCATGTGTTTGTTTATGATAATCGCCCGCAATAAGTGTAAGTAACCGCTGTTTTCATTTAACGTTACTTAAAGAAAATAAATACGTATACGATATTGCACACAATTTAATGATAAGTAATTTTGCGACAGTCAGACAATAAGTCTGTGTTTTCTTATGGTTTTTTTAAACTGCAAAGGTAGAAATCATCACTACATAAGAGAAAATGATAACATTATAATTTTTATCCAGTGGTAATTTATTTTATATTTCATTTATTACAGATTTATTTATCTCGGTGTAAAATTTAATTATTTAAGACAAGAGATCAGTTTAAATGTCAAACAAATTAAACGCTTCATAGCATTAAGACATTTTTTGCCATCTAATGAGCCAGAGCAAAATCGTTCAAGTGTGAAAGTTTGTGTTTGCAGAAAAACTGCACAATTTTTTTTCTTAATTTAAGTATTTTATTTATTTTATTTGTTATAAAATTATTTTTTAATCTATTCTTTATCTAAATTATATGTGTCTGTAAGTATATTTGCGCATCACTCAAGAACGGCTGGAGGGATATCAATAACATTTTTCGGTACGTACAATTTATAGTTTGAATTATAAACACAGCTATATTTTACTCTTATTGATCCAATAGATGCAAAGTTATAGCTTAAGCTTTCCGGTGTGTCTGACCCTTTATAAAACGGAGGCCATTTAAAGTGGTTAATGCATCAAGTTGTGACTCGGAATGATAACTGTAGAAATATAGAAACGCGCAAATTCATGATAGCTATTAGCTAGTCTATACATATAATAAAATTCTAACTGAGCCGAATCTCTACGTGAAATATTCTTAGGAAAATCTTATTGAAATAGACATTACTATCGATACAGAGGCCGAATATATAGTTTTTAGAACTTTTGTCTGTCTGTTAACGCATCACGGAAAAACCACTGGACGAATTTTGATGAAATTTGGTATGATGATAGCTGGTTATCTGGGTCAACATACAGGATACTTTTTATCGCGGGAAAATATCTCATCTCTGAGAAATCTATAATAAACGTTAAAGCGTAAGTAGGGACAAACCCGAGCGGAGCGAGGCTGAGTCGCTTGTTATAATTAAAATGTCTTACCTAATTACCATTTTCCGTATGTGGGGTTCTTGAAAGATGACGTAGGTGGTTTGTATAAGGGGTTTTCTCCTGTACAGTCTTCAGCATCTATGTTTTGGTACATGGGGTCGTTTAGCTGTACAGGGGGTGTCCTGTTTTGCCACATGATGTACCCGGCGACAGCTGCGAGGGCGGCTATCAAAGCGATCATTCCGAGTACGATAGGAAGCGTCACTGTGGAATAAATTGATGTTTTTGTGAAAATTATTAGCAATAGTTTATATTATAATTATTAGTTAAAACATTCCAATTACTTTTGTTTTTTTTTACTAAAGTGCTTTATGGGGTTCAAAAATTTATCAATGACGATTTGAATCGAAATATTTAAAATATTATTACTTATATACAAATTAACACGTTTATAAATTAGGGAAATATAAAAAAATCATCTATTCAGTGTTGTGTTCTAAAGTTAACATATTATATTATTCTATTAAAAAATAATAAACTTCGCCGAGAGAAAGAGACGTCTAATTATTTATTTAGGATCGAAAGAGATAAACACGATGATGTAAAACATATGTGGTATTATGAAGTGGCGAAGTGAATTAATGCAACTGTGTAAACTGGACCGTTTGATGTTTTAATATTAAAATAACATGTCTGTCATCTTAAAAGTCGTGTTATACATGTGAGATTATGTATTATATTATCATGATACCTAAACAAACTTTGCTGGAAGCTTTTTTGTTAGAAAGCTGTTGTGAGATTATATTATAAAAAACTCAAATAAACGCCTTCTTTTGATTTTTAGTGTTAATGTTTTCCGAATTAGTGTAAACGGCTTTTATAATTGTAACTGAAATACGTACATACCATATAATATAATAAAATTAATAAAATATACTAATGTAACAATACTAACATTCAAAACTGATATATTTAAACACTAAGTAATAAGTTAATTTTAGTGCCCTTAATTCGTTAAAGTATAAAATTACACTGACGGCTTTCATTGCAAATGTCTGAACAAATGCACGGTCTATTTTAGTATCTGTTTCCAAGAAGTGACTGAATGTGCCTTATTCGGCTCGAAGGACCAATTCGACGGTTTATTAATATTGTATTTAAATATATATGATGAAATTGTTAAAAAATGATAGTTTAGTAACTTCACAAGTACCTATACTATACGTATGTACTCACCACTGACTGCGCCGACCAGCTCACCGTTGCCGGATTCTAAGATCATGAAAAAAGTCTCGTCTCTATCGTCCCTCATGACAATGTACTCTATGTAGATCTCTTCGATATTTACACTGCATTTTACCCATACTTTTCTGCCCAAATCATCTTTTTGGTCTAACACTGTTTCGTTATAATGCTGTTTATATAATGAAAAGTGGCAGTCTCTACATTTTCCATAGGGCTGTAGGAAGCAGTCATCACAGTAATTGGTCATTGTGCAAATATCAGCACAGTAGTTGTCCTTATCAAAGTATTGAGATCCCTCTCTATCGGTGAAACATTCGCATTTCTCGCATGAGCCGCACTTACCGTTGCCCGAACACTCACCCTGATGACAAAATTTATATTACAACAACTTTATATGTATTATATGAAGTTTTAAATATAAGCTTTGTTTTTTTTTATTGAAATATAAATAATCGAAAAACTTACATTGTTTCTTGCCAAATCCGTACAAGGCACGTCTCCTCGTTTTTCTCCGCAACGTTCATCACAGAATTTACCAGTCCTGAAAATTATATATTTGGTTAAAAATTTTGACGGTGGTTATTTTTCTTAAGGAATGCAATATGTATGACAATTAAAATTTACTGTATTGATCCTCATACATACATACGTATATTATGTTTTTTTTTCATTAACACACAGCACCATTTAGTTCTATGGTAAGCTACAAGGCCTGGTTTATGGATACCAGATAGTTGATACACTACACATAATATGTAACTTTAGATACATACGTAATACATATTATAAATATAAACACCCATGACTGGAGTACAAAGATTCGTGCTCGTCACATGAATGACCCCAGCAAGACTCAAACCCGCGACCACTGGCTCAGCAAGTAGGGTCACTACAAACTGAGCATACGTGTCGTCATTTATGTATAAAGGACAACATAAAGCGCAAAGTGATATAAAAATTACAGAAAACCATCAAGATCTGATACAGTTGATGACGAGAAAATAGTGTCAATGTTATCAACTGTTATTTATGTGTACTTTAAAATATATTTTTCTTTTAGAAACATATTAAAGAATCTTAAGCTATTAACACACTTTACTTGATTTATATTCCTCTAGCGCTGAGACGTTATCGAATATTAATGCGTAGACGGGTAAATCTGATAAGATGTGAGGTTGAGAGGTGTGTAAGATGCCATAATGACACTTAACAACCACTTTAATCCGTTTGTAGCTCATTAGTTTTAAGTATTAAGTAATTCCGAATTTAGATAACATAAGGGTTCAAATTCAAATTTTATAACTTTCGTGGGATGAAATATATTAAATACTTTGAAAGCACTTATTGAATATGCGTCAATTAACACCTCCAGGTAAATTTCTAAGAAATTAATTAAATTTCTAAGAAATCTATTGTTAACTGTAACGCCGGCGTGTCCGCGGTCTTTGAGGGATTAATGTAAAACAAAATTGCATATAATATGCAGTAAATATTATATATATTTAATTTTAACCAAATATATATATATATATATATATATATATATATATATATATATATATATATATATATATATATATATATATATATATATGATATATATGCATCTCGCTTTAAGAAATAACTAGGTTACGCTTTTTCACCTTCTGACATTTACTTTCTCTAAGCTCCCACACTAGAAAAAACATGATAAAGTGGATCTTTTTACTTTATATTTTACGTATAGTGTAATATTGTTTACATAATAATTATGTATAATTTGAAATCAAATATAATATCAAATTAATAATCAAATATAATGTAATTATAGTTAGATACGGTATAGCAATTATGTCAAGTGTATGAAAAACGCTTTTAGTGCACGAAGAAAGTAGGGCCCTTGAGTCTATAATTAACTTTGCAGCACCGGACGCACAAAGATGTTTTTGTTTAGAGCATTTGTAATTCTGATTGATACTGCAGTAACGGTTAGGAAAGATCTCATTACAACCGTTTCGTTTCATGGTGAAATCATATTGTATGTCTGTTTCTATGTCATTTAAATTTACCATAAAATGCTATGTAATCGAATATCGATAGAATCTGTGATATATATATATATATATATATATATATATATATATATATATATATATGTGTGTAAAAGTATTTGCTTTGCGTGGCATGTTACATAAATATAGATATAAGATAATCATTTATTTAAATAATATATGTATAAGGATATCAAATATGCGTAATAAACAGTAAGTTCGGTGAATATAACGAAAAAAATATTAATAATTATTCAAAACATTTAATATTTTATCACTTATGGAATGCTCACATTTTAATATTTGGATTTCCGGATTAATTAAATTATTATAATTTATTTATTTTGAGTTTTTTAATAAGTATAAACATATGTAGTTCATGTTTTTTTATTACTGTAATATGCAAAAGTGTCTTTTAAGTGTAATTTTAAATCGCGTTATGTTCTGATTCCGACGTTAATTTTGTTTTTAAATATGTTAGGACATTAACACACAGCACCGTCTAGTTCCATAGTAAGATACGAGGCCTGTATCATTACCAGATAGTTAATACCTACACACACATATATATATATATATATATATAACTTTAAATATATATGTACTTATTATAAATTACATGTGCATGTGTGTTAAAGTATGAAATAAACAAATGAGGTATTAATATATTTATATCCTTACCATCCTTGGTGACAAATGCACTTCCCACCGACATTAGTGCCTCTTCCATTACACGATATAACAACGGTTTCTTCAATTTTATCATTAAACGAGCAAGCACAGGGTACGTGGACTTTCAAATTGGCTTCCTCAGTTATTCCCTCTACTGCCAGTTTCACATTGAAGAATTCAGTTGGACTTGCATTATGTCCACAGAAGTTTATGTTCGGTTTAACGTAGATACTAGTGGTGCAGGTGCCGTCGTAACAACTGGTTGTATTTTTAACATCGAAGTCATAGCTCTGAGTCGAATTCACAGTTAACTCGGTCTGTGGAAAGAGGACGACTTTTAAATAATGTATGATGAATCTCGTATTAGCTATTGCTTAGCCAAGATGACTTTCTATAATCGAAAAGTATTTACGTAGGTATAATCGTTGAACAGATTTTGATCAAAGATAGACGAACTTAGTTTTATTCCCATCCCACTTTGTACGCCTTGAGGCCGCGGGCAATACTAGTTTTATATGTTTTTTATTATTGACAAAACTGATTGTAGAATTTTAATATTGCTGATTACTGATTATATTTTTCTATTACACTGCTTGTATGCATATATTTTTGTATGTATGTATTTATGTGTGTATGTATGTATTTGTGTATGTATGTATGTATGTATGTATGTATGTATTTATGTATGTATGTATGTATGTATGTATATATGTATGTGTATAAGTATGTATTTATACAAATACACCGCCTACCATTTTTATATACTGATTCCTCTACCCTAAGGTTGCCTGGAAGAGATCGCTTCTAGCGATAAGGCCGCCTGCTGTGCATCTTTTTATTGTTATGTATTTGACTTCTTTATTTATTTTCTTGTGTGGTGTGCAATAAAGTGTTCATTATTATTATTATTATTGCTAAAATTCTGTCAGACTACTGAGAGAGATAAGCTCACTAACTACTAACGAGCAGGGGCTTTAAAATTGTTTATTGTAATCTTGATATAAGTATGAGTTTTGTGTCTGTTTCGGGACACACGTTGTAGAGTCGTTGAAAAAATTAATGAAGTGTATTATATTTCTACTGTCATTTTATAAGCTAATTTAAAACGTCCCAAATTATAATTATTATGTGCTTACTATGATAACTTAATATAATATCTTATGTCTATCTCTTATATAGAAGTTGCAAGAATATGCATTGCATTAAAGTAGCGCATTTTGTGGTTTTGTTTTTATAATATTTATAGGACTTGACCTTCATCACTATATAATAGGATTGTTCAAAGGACCTGTATTATATCTACAACGCGATCTAGTAATTTTAATTTATCACTATAAGAATTTACTACATATAATCAACATTGTTTTTATTTATATATCTATATCAGCTAAACCAAAACGATATGGCAATAACCACGAGCTAAAGCTAGTTTTGAATATAACCTAATTTATAATAGCGCTTGATCGTAAGTCATAATTACAATTAGTTTGATCCGAGTTCATTAAGATAATATACATGTAATGAGAGCCATCAGTACCTACTACATATTATAAGGCAATAGCAGTCGCATTATATTGTAATTGCAGCAAACAACTGCGATTTACATAATTGTACTTTAACATACCGTAATGATAATATTTAAGATATTTTTTCCCATAAGCTTGTTTTCCATAACTGTTTCGAAAATGCCCATCTATACTAATATAATAAAGAGGTAAGGTTTTTGAGCTTGTGACGTTGTAATGTTCGGTGGTCAGGAGGGGTCTTGAGATACAAACAGCAGCGTGATGTTGATAGATATTTATTTATCACACGACAGTTAACTATAACTTTCTTACTTGCTATGCTATAGCTGACTCGGAGGTCCGAAGGAACTCAAGGAACTCAAAGAACTAACCAACATTATGGGTGGAGGACATTATAAACCATAAACAACTGTAAACACATTTGGGAAAGTAAACAAACAGTCTCTGGACTCTACACTCATTAACAATTACTGGTAATTTGATAATTCTAAATGTTGTTTATATAACATTAAAGTACAATAAGTCTTAATGTTGTTTATCTTTGATATAACATTAAAGTACAATTGATTAAAAATATGTAAACATTACAACGTTTTAGGGGGTAATCTCTGGATCTATTGAACCGATTTAGATGAAATTTGGTAAGAAGATAGTTTGAGACCCTGGGAAGGAAATAGGATACTTTTTATCCTGGAAATCTCCTAAGAGGGTGAAAATGGAGATGAAAGTTTGTATGGGGGATCAAGCTATATAGTATTATATAAAGAAAGTCATAGTTAATTTATAAATCGCAACGAGTTTCTCGGGGAAAATAACAACTTTTTAAAGTTTTATCGTTTCCTAGTCTTTAGTTTTATTTGAAGGTTAGAAAACGTGAAATTAGAAAAAAAAATTGGTATAATGATGTGACTCTCATTTTTTGTATATCTCTGGAAACCCATCATGGATTTCGATTGTTAACGGTCAGGGGACAGTGACGCACCTACTCACTAAAACCCATAGTGGAACTCTATCATCCCCGCGGACTACCAACTAGAAAAGATTAAGAAATAACCTTTGCTCTCGAATGCTTTTTAAGATTATATTAATTATTATTTATTATACATATGACCATTTTATATATTTTACTTTTATTTTTATTGTTTTTAATTACAGTAAAGAATTTACATTTAACTATGGTGATACTTTTTAAAGAGATACATTAATATTTCATTATATGCTTATTGATCTTATTACTTATTCATAAGTATAAAAATCTTACCTTTGGATTTTGCATTTTTGATGGGTAGACAACGTTGAATTTATCATCGTTGCCAACTTTGAGGGTCTGCGTTTGATACTTTGGATTTAACTGTGCACCTTCTTCTTTATCATTGCTGAAATACAACAGGTCTTCCTTATCTTGCGTACACCAGTTATCGTAGGCCAACAGGGAGCATCGGTGATTCTGTAACAAAAGACATAAGTTTTTCTTATAAGGTAATTTTATATAACGTTAAATGCCCGCATGTTGATTTCTTTTTAGTTAAGAGTTACTTAAAACAACCTTGCTTTGCAAAATCTATAGGATAATTTAAACATTTTTTTTAAACAAATCAAATAAAACAAAAACAAAAAAACAAATATCAAACAATTAGGTACTATAAAAATGCTATTAAAATCCATTTTGTAGTACTCAAGTAATGAGTTATACAATATACATAGCCAACAGACTAACAAACAAACAGACAATTTATTATATATTAAAAAATCTAATTACATATAATAAAAACTATCCAATTAAAAGATGCCTCAACGTTTATTACGCAGAGGTTACCTAGTATGGTAAGACTTGTGCTATTTTTATGGATTAGACTCTAAATGTAGATTTGCACTATTATTTTCTTGTAACAAATTAATTGCTAAGCTCTTCAGATTGATGATTATCCGTTATATATAAATAAAATAAAAAGTAGTGTCTCTTTGTTTCTAAAGTCAATTACCTATCTATATAGAGTCATTAAGATATTATACAAATTGGCAAGCTGAGAATGATATTCATTTGCGAATGTCATAGATAAAATGATACTGTATAAAAATCATCATAAAAACAAAATAACAATATTAGTATTCGCCCGTCATCGAAATTTGACCATAATTATTATTGAAATTAAAAAAAAACATACATGAATCGAATTTACCTATCTATATAAAAACTTTTTTTTCCAATTTTTTGTGAAGTGAAATCTTCTATAGGTAGGTTTGGATGGGAAATAAATTCATGTAAGTCGTCATCGACATGGTCACGTGAAGTGTTAACGCTAACACTCGAAGTGCCGACAGATGTCAAAACCAGATAAATGTACAGAGTTTTAATTTACAAATTTTAATTTAAGATCAAACAGTTAATTTGAATATCTAAAAATAAGAACTGTTTGTTTATAGTTTTAAGTTTTCACTTCTGTCGGCAGTTCTCATGACTGCTTTTTTATTGATAAAAAGAAAATCGGTTGATAAACAGAGGAGGAAAAGGTCGTTTTATCTTTGCCTATGTATATAGTATATATATACGACAATAGCAAGAAAAACATTTAATAATATAATATAATCATACATACGAGTATGTGCGATAAGCGCAGGAATAATCGAAATTAAAAATATAAAATTAAATTTATATAATATTTATAAAATAATATAAAAGAATACTTGAAACATATCGGTCATCGGATAATAAATAGCTTTGACAGTTAAAAAATATGTTGCAGCTTATTATTTAATCTGTACGGATTGCATTGAATTTCAAAATTTTAATTGACAGGAATGACATACAAAACTCGAACAATGTTTGTACTATTGTAGTAACATTCACATATCAGTATATTCTGTAATGTTTATTGCAACAGAGCAAGTAAGTATATTTAATGGAAATTAATGACGCGTGATTATTATGTTATTTTTAAAAGTTCGTAAATGCTAAGATATTTTTTGCAACTCTTTTACAAATTCTTACATAAAAACTTAGGAAGAATGATGCAATAGTTGGCTTATAGTATGATATTCTCAAAATAATTGCCATAATCATTGTAACAAATTTAACAATACAATGGACAATTAAGTAATATATAATTACCCAAATGTTTGTAATTTTTTTAACACATACAGGATAAATAATCGGCTATAAAATATAAGAAAAATAAGTTAATTTGAATTTGAAAGAAATGTGACACTTATTCTAAGCCATGCCATACTATTAATTTCTTCTAAGAAACATTTAGCACAATTGTACTAAGTTTTTTAAATTCTATAAAGATAATGTATATATTTTTCATTGATTTCTTTCTTAGATACACGCGAATATTTGATATTTAAAAAAAACTATTTTTCAGCGTAATAGTTACACGATTTAAAACTTAACTTATTTTTACAGATATGTCTCGACATTTAAAAAAAACCTCCCAGCTTTGACACTTCGTGTATATCTAAAATTAAAATGTACCTAATGGTAGGTAATTGATATGTAGGTATGGCAAGATTTTCCATTAATTGAATTACGACTGCAGAATGATCGCTGGCGCCAATAAAGCACGCGGGGAACCATAAATTATCTACTCCAAGCACACGACAATATAACTAATAATTATTATCTATATATGTCATTTTTATCTTTATATACATGAGCAAATACAAACAAAACAATTCATTTCTTTTTTTTGTTTAGTATCTAATGGCAAGCTCTAGTGTTAGCAATAAAAAATTTGGAAAAGATTTTTTATATAGACAGGTAAATCTCTTAAAGAGATAAGTTATCCTTTGTCAAATTTTGTTATTTTATTTTGTATAACATATATTTTATGGTACATAAATAAATAAATTCTATTCATATAAATAATAAATGTATTTTCCTCAAATTTTAACTAATATTTATGTATTGTCGATTTTCGATCACTGAGCGAACGCTAGTTCAAATAATAATAATTATTGAATTGATCCACTTTTAATGGTTATCTAATTATTTCGTTATAATATTATATATAAGTTACATTTAGAAATATTCTTTATTACCTTGAAATTCTCATGTATTTATACGAATACTTCAATATCAAATTACAAAATAATTTAACAAAAAATACATTTTATTTTCAAATTATACAAATAGTTGGCATTTATTTAACATTTGAATTTCCTATAATGTACTTACAATCACGTCATGGTCATGTTCATTAAGTAAATAGCCGGTTTTATCTATTGAAATAATTAAATTATATGTCACTTTAGTTTTTTCTAAAAAATTAATTGCAAAACGAGAAAAATATAGGAATGGCATCCATATGTAATGTGTCTATGGAAATAATAATGACTATTATGTTTACGTGTAAAATAGCTTGTGGCGCCATAGTGGTGAGCTTTAGTTCAATCTTGAAGATAATCATATAGGATTTTTATAAGAGACTAGCGACTCACCCTCGCTTCGCTCGGGTTCGTTCCTAGGTACGATTTAATTTTTTTGAGCGGAACCCTAATTTTTTTTTTAAAGTAGCCTATGTTACTTCATATAACATCAGCTATCTTCTAGTAAAAGTCCCGTCAAAATCACTCCAGCCGTTTTAGAGATTATCCGGAACAAACAGACAGACAGACGAAAATTTAAAAAATTGTGTTTTTCTTATAAGTACCGTATATAATTTCATATGCATTTAGTAAAACGCTGTTATTTTGACATTACAAACAGACACTTCAATTTTATTTATCTGTATAGATAGGCCATTCTATCGTATTTTAATTTTATTATCTGATAATGAATAAATGCTACATAATATAATTAATGTATACATATGTACAATGTACATACATACATGCTTTCGAAATAAAGAAAACTTTCTGTGCTCTAGCTAGAGTTGTTTTTACTTTATAAGCGGATGTTTACACAACGATTTTGTACTTGATTAATCTAATTTTAACATAATTTAAGTTATACATTAAATGTTTTGAATTTCTATTTGGTTAATATTAAATATATATTGAATTGTTTATTCAGTAGAGTACTAACAAACCTGTTTATAGTCGAGTTGATGTAACGATGCACGTACAGTCTATTTAAGTATCAATTTCACTGACAGATGAAGATCATAAATTTATGTAGGTATATCTTTCTGTTTATACATTGAGACTGTTTATAATGAGGGTCTATCGAATTTTAATCTGAATTTTTTTAACTCATTTACATTACTTTAGTATCAGTTTGTAATTAATATCATACCGGTGCTTTGCAACTTGTCCATTTATTTGACTTCAATTATTTTTAAATTATGTATAACTATAGTTAGTCAGCTGTAAGGGTTTCATACATAAAATTATCCCAACGAATGTTTATATGGTCCATACAGGTTAGGTACTATCACCTATTTTTAACCCCCGACGCAAAAAAAGGGGTGTTATAAGTTTGACGTCGATGTCTGTCTGTCTGTGGCATGTAGCTCTCAAACGGATGGAACGATTTCGATGCGGTATTTTCATTTGAAAGCCAGTTTCCTTGCGGTTGTTCTTAGCTATGTTTGGTTAATATCTGTCCAGTAGTGTAAGAGTATCAGCTCTTTTCCAAAATGATATAAGGCATTTCGATTTTTGGCGTATAATACTCGATTCGTGCTTCACGCGTGCCAGTGTAATCGTTAAATGACAATTAATTTGCGTTGGGGTTTTTTAAATTTTTAATTTGTGTTCTACGAGACAACCAAATAGTTTCGAAGTCATCAGCATCGCATTACAGTGGTCTTGGTCATGACACAAGCATCCATGTTTCATACTAAATTAATACAAAGAAACTTTTCTGTAACTCATAGTTTCAATTTTACTCTTTTTTAAATGTATAACATTTACTTATTGGTCTTATATGTATAGTAAAAATAATTTTTGGGATAAGCAATTGTATTCGATATTAAGAAATTGTTATTTTTTTCAGTAATAGACACGTTACACAATATCTGGTATATCTTACGTCGATGCACCACGAGTGAAACCCCGAACAAAAACACGTTTTATTTAAAAACATACCCGCACATAATAACATCTAACATTGCTTTTTAAAACGATAATTAATAAGAAAAGTTTAACTTTTATTTATCTTTATGATGAACCATATTATTCTCCTTTTTTACTCATTATGAGCTTTTATGAAATATTTTGTGCTTAATTCGTATTTCGTATCGTATCTTCGTGTAGGCCAATTCATTGAAGATTGCATGATTCGTGGTTGCTTAAATATTAATTTTGAAAGGTAATTTAGTTGAGATCGCAAACGTTATGCATCATCATTTTAAGGTCAACCGCAGATTAAGTACCTATAACTAGAAATGGTATATAATGCTAAGTAAAAAGAAGTTTTATAAAATGAAATTTGTTGAATTAACAAAAAAATGAACGTAAAAAAGTTACGTCTTTTTTGTTATTCAATCGGATTATTAAGTATCT